TAGGGCAGTGCCGATTCGCATTAAATTTAGATTCGCTCAGCATGCAACGAAATGGAATTGGAGAAATGAAATTTTTATAAAACTTAGTCTCTAAGAGTGAGAGTGAGATTTTAGGGGAACAAATGGAAATGGCACACCGGCAATGATCATATGAGGATTTACTCCAAATGAGTTTCTCGCTTGTAAAGGTCCGATTTCAGGGAAGCAAATGAAATTGGAACGCCGGATGCAGATTCACTCAAAATGGAATTGAAACAAAGGAAATATGGAAAACGTTCCGCATGCCTACCCTTATTTCCGGCTGTTTCGGCCGCAGAAACCGTCGAGCTGCCGGCCACAAATCGCATCAGATTGTCCACATATTCGGTGTCCTTGGCCAAGATGCCGTCGCCGCCAACGGGCTCAGGTGGGATAGGTGTTGCCTTGTGCTGGGCTGCCTTCGGATCGGGTGTGGGCAGCTGCTTGGTCTGCGTGTTGGGCGTGCGCAGGCTGACGTTGCGGTTCATGTTGCGCTTGGAGAGGATCTCCTCGAATTCGAGCAGCGTTATGGACGAGATATCCACGGTGGATGCGTCGGCACCATCCAGATGGCTGCGGCTCGACCGCTGGCCCTGACCGCCGGCCGTGCTGCCAGCTGTCGCCTCACCAGCTGCACCGCTGCCCGAGCCACTCGGCTGCCAATTGAGGCGCTGTAACGTGCTTAGGTCGCACGGCAATTTGGTCTCCAGCAGCTGGCACAGGCCGTGAGCGACAACGTAGCCCCGTTCGCCGGTCTCCTGGATCAGTTCTTGAGCCTTGCGCAGTCGGTCGCTCGGATGTTCGCTGGCCTCACGCAACGCGTCCACCGTCTGACTCACATTCACTGAGATCAGTTCGCGCACACTCGAGTTGCTCCACAGATGCTTAGTCAGCGACAGATGCTCGCGTCCGCACGCCTCCGCAACTATTTGCAGACCGCGCAGTACGCCCAGCACGTCTTGCGCCGACCGTGTCATCTCGTTTGACCACTTCACAAACGAGTGGGCGATCAATTGTTGCTGTTGTTGTCGCTTTTGTTGTTTGTTTTGTTTATTCGCTCTTGTTGCCGGTCGTTAATGGCGCTGGCGTCAGACTTCTGCAACTTGTGATGCTCTACGGCATCTGTGTGCGTTGGCACGGACGAAAGTTGTGTCTAAAATGGAAAAACGTCGTTTGTAATTCAGTTACGTAAACGTAAATAAATAAACTTGCACGATTGTTGCGAAATTCAAAATCAGCTGTTGGCCAAATATGTTTAACTCGTTCAATTGCACATGGGTCATGGCAGTGTTGGCAAAAGCGTAAAAGTGTTAACAGTTCTGTTAATGCATGTACAGTTTGATAAGCTTAATTTTAATTAGAAGGCTTTTTCATAATTTCTTATATAATTTATAGCAAAAAAAAAAAAAAAAA